CCCCTCCCCCCAAATAACAAACAATCAAAAACTCTCCTGAGATGGCTGACCTCGATATCATTTACTGTTACCCTACAAATATCACCCTTAACCTCCAGGCCATAGTACTGACAAGATTTCCTTCATATGTTTGTTGTAGAAATATTGTTTACTCACTAGAACTTGGCTTCTAAAACTCCATGTCTGTTAGAAAATGCTTGCTTGGGAATAGTAAGGTGCATACCAGCAGGGGAGGCTGTGGCCCATGAGCTGTGCCCTCAGACTCCCCCTCCAGACACAGGAAGAATAAAGACCCTCAATGCCTCCCTCCAGGCTCCCTGAGAACAACACAGTAATGTTACTAACAGGCTCTATCCTGTAGCTAAATCAAAGCATGTTTCCCCCGAATGAGGAACCCAGGGTGGAACTCAGACCCTCTGCCCCTCCTGCCCCCAAGGCCTGGGGACCCCTGGACAGAGCGCTCCCTGCCCAGTCCGGGCCCACCCACCAGGCTGCAGCACAGCCTTCTTGGCGATGATGTTGACAGCGGCCACGCAGACAGGTGCCGCGTAGAAGCAGCCTGGCTCCGCAATGACTTCAATGCCGGTCCCCTCGGGGAAGTCCTGGGCCAGGGCAGCATTGATCACTCTCGCCATCTGTGGGGACAGACCCGAGCCCTGTAAAGCCAGTCCCCATGCGGGGTCTTTCCCTGCGTCTTCCCTCTTCATTCCCCTAACAGCTCTGTGGGAAGGTGTCAGCATCCCTTTGTGCAGGGGAGGAAACAGGTCAAGACTGTGGCCCCGAGGGGAGAAGAGCCCGAGGGCACAACCTAGTGACCAGGCTGTAGCACCATGAGATCTGACTTGGAAACATTGAAATCAATACGTGATCAGCAAAGGGAAACTGTCCCCTGGGTGTGGGGGATACAGTAAGGAAACCTCTATCTGACAGTAGCCTTCCCAGGGGTAGTAACCAACACGTCTGTAGAAGGTACAGAACCCCATGCTCCCATGCAAATACACACATACACACACACACACATGCACACGCACACACACACACTGTGTAATAAACCCAGGCTGTGGCACTCAGACGCCCTCTCCTCCTCCCCTCTTACCTCCTCAAACTCCGGCTCAGAGCCCTCCACTCCGGGGAAGCCCCCTCCAATGTCCAGGAGGCTCATGTCATGCCCGATGCCACGGCCCATCTCGAACACCCGCCGGCAGTCGGCGATGGCCTGTGCGAAGCTGTGGGGATTCTGGCAGCCCGAGCCCACGTGGAAGCTGAGCACAGGTGCAGTGACAGGTGCAGAAACACACGAGGAAACGCAAGGGTCAGCAGGAGAGATACACATTCGGAAACAGCCACACAGGCACCCGGACACAGACACGGGGACACACGTGACTACATGGAGCTCGTGGGCACCCACAGGAACCTCAGCCTTGGCTGTGCACATGGGGACCCCAGAGACACACACCGCATGATAGTCCGTGAGTGGGGCTCTCGTGGTTGTGTGGCAGTCACCTCTCTTAGCTACCCCTCCCCAAGCCTCGCGGCAGGGGCTCCCCTTCTTCTCCTCCTTGGAATGCAAGTGATCTGCACCCCAAATCTCAAACCATCTACCAGGGGGCACAAAGGACCCAATCAGGGGTAGGTGGGGTGAAGTGAGGGAGGACGCTCTCCAGGTGCAACATTCAAGAGAAAACCAAAGCATTGAGCAATCAACATAAGTAACCTTCATGCACTATCCTGTATAATAAAAAGGTAATATGAAAATTGACCATCACACCTTCGCACAAGATGGCAACACCCATGTCATCACAAGATGACCACCACAGGATGGCCAGCAGGGGAGGGCCCTTGTGGGTGATCAGGCCAGCATGGGACGGCAGTTGGGGTGACCGACCGAGCCAGCAGGGGAGGGCACTTGTGGGCAACCAGGCCGGCAGGGGAGGGCACTTGTGGGCAACCAGGCCGGCAGGGGAGGGCACTTGTGGGCAACCAGGCCGGCAGGGGAGGGCACTTGTGGGCAACCAGGCCGGCAGGGAAGGGTAGTTGGGGGGGACCAGGCTGGCAGAAGAGCAGTTAACCATTGATCAGGCTGGCAGCGGAGTGGTTAGGGGGTGATCAGGCAGGCAGGTGAGCAGTTGGGAGCCAGCAGTTACGGATTGTGAGAGCGATGTCTGACTGTCAGTTTAGGCCTGATCCCACAGGCAGTCAGACATCCCCCGATGGGTCCCAGATTGAAGAGGGTGCAGGTTGGGCTGAAGGGAACCCCCTACCCCCAGTGCACGAATTTCGTGCACTGGGCCTCTCATCTATATATATTAGAGAGAGAGGAAGAGCGAGTGAGAGAGAGACCTCAATTGGTTGCCTCCTGTACACACCCCGTCAAGGGATCAAACCTGCTGATGCAAAGATATCCATGATGAGTAAAATATAAAAACTTTAGGAAGGTGGGGGGGGGGGGGGGGGG